CTGTCTCAGCCTCCCCAGCACTGGGATTATAGACATGCACCACCAAACCCAATTTTGGAGGCCTGCACGGCGTTCCCAGTTTTGGGGCTGGCATGGCATTTGGTACTAAGGATCGAACCTTTATTCTTATGCTTGCTAGGCAGGCTCTTAGACCATCGGGCTATCTCCTCAGCCTCCCCTCTTTCTTTTCTTTTCTTTTCTTTTCTTTTCTTTTCTTTTCTTTTCTTTCTTTTCTTTTCTTTTCTTTTCTTTTCTTTTCTTTCTTTCTTTTTTTTTCTGAGACAGGGTTTCGCTATACAGTTCAGGCTGGCTTTGAACTCACTTTGTAGCCCAGACTGACCTCAAACTCTGCCTCGGCCTCCTAAATTCTGGGATTATAGGCATGAGCCACTATATACAGCTATAATTTATTTTTTTATAGTTTTTTTATTCATACCATGAAACAATATTGTTACTATGTCACAGTTTGTTTATTTATTTACTAATTGATGAACATAATAAGATGGTTTCCATATTTTACTCCTATGGATGTTTCTATAAACGATTCATGTACAAGCTTAGGTGATTGTTGTGTATAGAAGTGGAATTGCTGGGTTATGTGATAACTTGGACACGCTCTTGAGTAGGAGCATGAGCCTCAAGGATGGGTAGGCGCCTTGAGTACCTGGATTTCTTCCACGATGACTTTTGTGAAACATGTAGTTTTTAAATGTAAGCTCCTGCTGTAGGAAAAGGAGACCAATAGAAAACCATAGTGGTGCCTTAGTTCAGGAACTTGATTCTTGGCATGATTCTGGGTTACAAACCAAATTGGATGAGAACCAAATCAAATTCAATGATTAGATTCATTGTTGACCTTGTGGGGAAATTTGATTCAGTTTGCATACAGTTCAGTTTATGGCAAGAATTGTGGAAAGTTATTTGTAAATTGAGATGCCACTGTAATGTCTGGTAACACTAAACCAGTGACTGGCTGGGTGTGGTGGCACACGCCTGTAATCCCAGTACTCAGGAGGCTGAGGCAGTAGGATTGCTGTGAGTTTGAAGCTAGCCTGGGCTACATAGTGAGTTCAAAGCCAGTTTGCATGATAGTGAGACCTTGTCTCAAAACAAACCAAAACCTAAACCCATGACAAAAAAAAAAGGACAGACTAATTCTGAAAGTAATGAGAAGGAATTAAGTCTTTTGATTGTTTCCAACCAGCTTTAAACTCTACTCAGTAAGATTTCCTGGTGTGGAATTTTGATTTAGTTGATTCAGAGCTGTCCTTGCCCTAATTTTATTACTGTTTGTAAATAGATGTTCTTGACTTTCTCGCTTTTGAATTATACTTTTGTTATTCTTAGGATGTGGTACTGCCAATAGGAGGTGTTCATAAATGTGTGGTAAAATTTTTTGTTCATCACAGTGACTTGAGGAGTCCCCTGGCAGGGGTTCCAGGATGCTGTCTGTCCTCCATTCCTTAGGATAGTGAGTACACAGGACAGTCTTCCTTCTTGAAGTCCCAGCAGCGGCCCTCTTACACTGTCTTGGGTAAATGATGTCCCTTTGCTACATAGCCGTTGAGCCCTCCATCAGCGTCTGGCCTCAGACTATGTTCTCAGGCCGCTACGTAAAGCTAACAGGTCCATGGATCAGATTTGTCCTTTAGATGTTTTTATTTGGCCAGCATTTAAAAAGTAAGGAAAGTTGACTTTAAAAATCCAGATTACTGTTTTTTTCTGTAGAAAGGAAAAGGAGTCTACCTTTCGTGCCCAGCCCTCGCTCAGCCGCTTTGTGGCGGTCTTGGCCTTCTCCTTTCCTATGCAATTGTTCTTCGCAGTCTCCAGGACATTGCCTTTGGGTGCCCATGTGCGTTTCCTTGTGGAAACAGTTCTCTGGATCACATATCAGACATGCTGTCTGTTCAGACTACAGGTTTAATGTTTTCTACTGAGCCAAGCATAGCTTAGAGTTAGAACATGGGTTTAATATGCAAGCACCCCTGTGTTCAATCTTGGTGCCAAAAAATAAAATTACTTTTTTTGTTTGTTTGTTTTTAACACAGGATCTTGCTATGTGGTCCAGGCTGGTCTTGAAATCACTACGTAGTCCAGGCTGGCCTCGCACTCCTTCTACCTCAGCCTCCTGAGTGCTGGGGTCACAGCCAAGCGCCACCACTCCCAACCTGTTAACTCTTGTTAGAAGAATGAATACCTCCTATGTGTTGATTGCTTAGCCAAATTTAAGGCACAATGCTAACTAAGTGTTTTCCCTGAATTACTTCATTTAACCCATGTAAGAGGCAGGCACTAACTTCACGCTTATTTCTCCTAAAGAAGCTCAGAGAAATTAGAACTTGTTGGGAGTGCTTGACCAGTAATTTATGGAGGCAGAACTCCAGTCCCCAAGGCTGGGATGCTGGCTGAGTCTGCTCTCACCTTTTTAAAAAATAAGGGCCAGGGGCCGGGGAAATGGCTCAGTGGAATAAGCACTTCCCTGGCAAGCACAAAGGCCTGAGTTCATTCCCCGGTTCTGCCAAAAAAAGAATAAAAAACAAGGGCCAGCCAGATAGCTCAGTGGATTGAAGCACCTGCTTAGGCAGATGCAGCGAGTGGGGTTAGACCCCCAGTGTGCTGTGCCTGCCTCGCCACCAGAATGGACTGAGACAGCTGAGACAAGGCGTGGTGGTGCAGGCCTATAATCCCAACGCTTGGGAGGCTGAAAACAGGAGGATCACTACGAGTATGATCTGTATAGTAAGACCCTGTACTAAATACTAAAAAAACGAAAAACAATCCTTCTTCAACTCTATAATTTTTTTTTAATTTTTTATTTATTTTATTTATTTGAGAAACAGAGAGAGAGAGAGAGAGAGAGAGAGAGAGAGAGAGAGAGAGAGAGAGAGAGAGAGAGAGAGAGAGAGAGAGGGGTGTGTGTGTGTGGCCAGCTCAGCCCACCAGGGGGCGGGGCTGGCTGGCATGTGGTGCTGGGGGATTGAACCGCGGTCCCTGATGCTTTGCTAAGCTTGTTCTAAGTAGGTGCTTTAGACCACTGAGCCATCTCTCCAGCCCTCAACTCTATAATTAATGAGGACCTTTTGTTACTTGTTAGGTATGCTACTGAGAATTGACCTCAGGGCATCCTGATGCTGAATAGACATTTTTTGTAGAAAGTGTCACCAAGTTACCTGGGCTGCCCTTGAATTTGCCAGCCTCCTGCTTCAGCCTCACTGGCAGCTGGGATTATAGGCATGTGCCACCACACCCAGGATATTGAAGGACTCAAACTACTTTGTATTTTGACATGTTTGAGAGAATTAACATGACTGTTGCCTCTTTTCCATTTTTTATCTTTTCCCCCTAAATTATGGGCATATCAGGTTCTCTACTATATTTCCGTCTCATTCCTATCTCATAAAATTGAAGGGACTGGTACATTTTTAAAAAATGAATTCTGGACCTGGGATTGAGCTCAGTGCAAAGATCCTGAGATTCGTTCATCAGTAGTACAGGAAAAAATAAAAAATAAAAAAAGGAAAGAAATGAAAGAAAAAAATGAATTCCACCCTAGTACTCAGGACCCTGAGACAGAAGCATTGTGAGTTCTAGGCCAGCCTCCCCTACATAGCAAGACCCACAGCGATTCCATTGATATCTGTCAACGGTCAGTAATAAAGCTGTGGACACGGTGTAGTAAGTCACCTGAGAATAATGGCTGTGGCTGTTTCCATATGGGCAGCTAACTCCAGCTGAGATCTGAATGTACAACATGGTAGGTAACTTACATGAGGGTATTGTCAGTGCAGCTAGATAGGACAGTGCTTCCCCAAATTGCATTTCTTCTGAATATGACTAACTGGAGATAGGTTTTAAAAGGAAGCTGAGGCAGGAAGATCACAAATTCAAGCCCAGGCTGGGCTGTTCAGCCCTGCAAGACTCTCAAAAATACGAAGTCAAAAAGGCTCTGGATATAGCTCATTGTGAAGGCACTGGTTTCGATTTCTAGTACTGGGGGGTAAAAAAGAGAAAAGAAAGGATGTTTCAGGAACTAGTGGTATCGAAGGAAATGATTGATTTTGGATGCCAGCTGGTTCTGCTATAACCTTATCAGTTTTATTTTTTTTATTTTTCAAAATTTTATTGATAAACAGCAATGAGACAGTTTCAAATCAAATCGGAAGTACAGTTTCAACAAATAACACACTGCATACATTCTTCTTAGTGGTTAATTGCTGTACCTTATCAGTTTTAGAATGATGAGTTCTGTTGGAGGAAGAACATCTTCTTCTGGGCTCTGACTTTCTTTTTTATTTATTTATTTATTTATTACATTTATTTATTGTGTGTGTGGCCAGCTCAGCCCACCAGGGGGCGGGGCTGACTGGCATGTGGTGCTGGGGGATCGAACCGCGGTCCCTGTGCTTTGCCAAGCTTGTTTCAAGTAGGTGCTTTAGACC